CACACACACACACACACACACACACACACACACACACACACACACACGAGATATGCTGAATAAGAATCCAAAGCTTTCCAAATCCCCTGATAGGGGAGGACCTCCTCCCCTTTCATCTGACCCTGTTTTATCAGGTATCTTCAGGGCTGGCTGCAAAGTCCTCCTCTGTGGCCTAACAGACTGCTCCTCCCCTGGGGGGGGGGTGTCAAACAGCCTGCCCTTGAGATCCTGTTAGAAATAGTCCATGTTCCCCTTACTTTGGAAAACTACTTGGTTACTGAGCTACCACAGGCCACATCTGAGCAGAAGTTCTAGGTTATATCCATAGATGGTCCTTTGTTGAGTGTCAGTCTCAGAAAAGACCCTGTGCCCAGATATATTTGGTCCTTGTAGAGCTCCTATCCTTTCCATATCATACTAACTTCCCTTCTTTCATATGATTCCCTGCACTCTGCCGAGGGTTTGGTTATGAGTCTTAGGGAATGAGGGAGCGTGATACAGCTGGGACACAGAGTTAACAAAATGTAACTAAAAATAAAAATTAAAAAAAAAAGTTTAAAAAAAACACAAAACAAAATATTGCTAGTTTAATAACACTGTGTGAAGAAAAAAAAATAAAGGCTTTACTAACTTTTTAAAATTAAAAAAAAAAAAAAAGAATCCAAAGCTACTCATGCCTTTCTGAGTTGAAGGGAAAACTGATGTCGAGCCTAGTTTTGAAATGTAGAACTGCAATTGTTGTAAGAGGTGGGGATGTTGCTGCTTATAATTTTTTTTCATCATCTCCTTCCCTCCCACTTTACCACCCAGAAGTAATTTTCTCTTCTGAACATGGTGAGGCCTATATTTATTTTGTTCATGAATCACTGGCTTTGTCTGCAAAAAGGCAAAGTATATTTGCTCTGCCTTTAGAGCTATTTCTAATTTTCTCATTCAAGTCAGAAGTCATCAAAGATATACACATTTCAAGTGATGAAAAATGCCTTTTAGAGACATAGTAGAAAAAAGAAAAAGACCTATGTATAAATTTGGGTTAATGGGAAAACAGTGTCTTTAGAAAGAGCCAGCAAGGGTGGAACTCACTGGAATTAGTTAATACCAAATCAGCTGCCAATAACCTTGAGGGCAAATGACTTAAGTCTTTTTTATCCTCAGCACAGGGCAGGAAACTCTACCTGAATCTCACAGTGATAGAAAAAAAATGGCTCTATTTTATTTTGTAATATTTAAAAAAATTCAAAATGAATTCAGAAAACTCATCTACTTAGCAATAGTGGCTACAGTTGTAGAAGAAAGTAACTCCGGGAATTTTGTGATTAAATGAATCTTTTCATACAATGTGGCAATTCCTTGTTTATTTTCAGGGACAGACATGTCTCTAATAGGAACTCAAGTCCAGCTCTGTTACTTGGTCTAGCTTTGGCTCCATCTGCTGAATGATAGGGACAGTGCCTCAGACCAGATGATCTCTGTAAACTGAGGGTCACCTGACTTCAGTCCTCCTCTTGGTACTATCATGATCAAACACTTTTCTTATTGATTCTGAGTCCTCATGTTGGTTGTGAAATTATTGTTCCTAATATTAGCAGCAGCTGACGTGACTATTTCTTGGCACTGTGTTACACATGTAACACAAGCATTACACATAACTGACAATATCCCACGGGCCCTTTTCAGTGAAGAAGCTGAGGCCAAACACACAGTAACTTGCTCAGAGTGACCCAAGCCACAAGAGGCCGAGTTTCGGTTTAAGAGCGTTTGTTGCTGGAACAGTAGTTCTCGGACTGGCTCCAGGTTAGAATAATCTGAAAAGCTTCTAAGGTCTTCACCCGGGCTGACACCCACACCCCACCAAAAATAAATAAAATAATCTTTAATTGTTTAGGCGTACCCACTTTTACCAAGACCCTCATTTTCCTCCAAATGATAGTTGAAATGGAGAAGCCCCACTCTGGCCTGCATTATTTAATACTGTGGTATTAATTTCTCTACTTAACCAATTTGTAGACATTGGCTTAAATAGTAGCCCCTTTGAAGACTCATTTTATTTGAAAAACAGGGTGCTGTACTATCCACCTCATGAGTCTTATGTGAGTCAGTAGCCTCAGGGGAAATAGCTCTGCATTTGGCACCTGGCAGCTTTCACCATCAAGTTCCTGCAGACCATAGTTATCATTTGCTGCCAATAGCTGCTGCTCATTGCTCTCCAGTGTCTTGGGCCAGGCATGCTCTTCACACTATTAGTTGCCCATTTTCAGGCTGGGAAACCAAGTAGTTATCTTTGAGAAGTAGTAGAAAGAGATGACATGTTAAGACAGAAAAGCAATCCGAGTCAGTGCCTGAAGAGGTTCTAGCTTTCACCAGGATGTTCTAGCTTGAATGGAAGGGTTTGAGATGTCTTGGTTAGGGGGCATTTTCTCCCCTTCCGATCCAGAGTTCACAGAAAAAAAAAAATATACATATATATGTATATATACAGTTAGAGAGTTTCCTTAAGGAAAATCTTTACATCTGTTCTAAGAATATTACTATTCATTGTTTTATAGTTCACATCTAGATTTAAAGGACACAAACATTCTTCTATGAACATCCCCTAGGAAAATGTGAATTGAGCCAAATAGTTTGTCAGAGTCGTTAAAAAATACTAAACACTTTCCCCTCAAACTTTAAAATTAGATTTTGCTGTATGTTTTGTAATGTTATATTAAATATTATAATATATATTCTATCTTATAAATGCATTTTTACTCATTTGTGACTGTCATAACATGCTTTGCTGTTTTGAGCACACAAAGCAGGAACGCACAATCACTGCCTAAGAGGAGTTACATTTAGCAGTCTCTATCACATTTTCCCATGTCCTTACCTTGAGATGACACATTACAAATTTGTGCATCAGGTGGTTCCACTTAGACTTCTTAAACATGGAAAGGTGTCCTATGTCATGTTGTAAAAATGAGCTTTGAGCCTAAGAAATAAAAGGTTAGAGAAGTTGCAGATCAAGAAGGAATCATGAAACCCAAACGCATACTTGCAAGCCTGATAGAAAATAGTGGAGACCTCGCTTGATCTTCACCAGGTTTACTTTCAACATCAGCATTTCTACAACCTCCATCCACATGTGCAAGTGCTTACTCCTGCCTCAACCACTTTCTTTGTCTAATAAGTGTCTAATAAGTTTAGAGTCTTTAATTCTTAAGAGCTAAACAATTCTGAGCAAGCTATACAGTAGCTCTGATCCTCAGCAACCTGTCTGATTTCTCTTGGTATAGTGCCAAACTCACGAGACTGTTGTGAGATTTACTTATTGTACAGTGTCGAGCTAATGGAAAACATCAAAGGAATATATGTTTCCAAAACCACTTTCTAAAGAATGAAGAAGTTTGAGTTTGCAAGACATAAACACATGTAAAAATTCTGGGGTTTGGAAACATTACTCTCCAATCTTTGGAAAACCCTCCTGCGTTGTTCCATCAAGAACAAACTGCCCTCCCTGCTCCAGGAGCACATGCTTCCTCTTGGTGTTGGCGTTTCCCCCTTTGACATATTCAGTTGAGTGTTTCTCTCAGTCGTGGAGGACTCCTTCATTCAGGACAGGGAACAAGTGAATTTCCCTTCGTCTCTGTACACAGACTATTCTCATATGAGAGCACCTGCATTTAGAACTTAACAAACATTTAACAAGTGCTCTGAAAAGTGACACTTGCTGATGTCATTTATATTGAAGTATACATAATTTGTATTCTCATGTATTAAGATGTATTTTTTTTCCCATTGAAGAATGCATAGTCTGCCACACTGATAAATGTTGGCAGATTGAAAGACAAAGATAGATGTTACATAGCCGAGACTAGAATTACAGTTATTAGAGTAAGGATAAAACAGGGTGAACAAGGTCAGCTTCCATTTGCTTAACCATCACCATATTCTAGATACTGCGCTAGCTTGTTTACAGGTTGACGTGCTTAGTCTTCTTCAGAATAATTCCATCTTCATTGTTGTCCTCATCTTATAGATGAGAGAACTGGAGTTCAACACTTTGGAAAGCTATTAACACTCATGAGTAGTGTTCCAAAATGTGCACCAGCCCACCCAGAGGGGATCAGAGAACATTACAAAAGAAAAGACCAAAAGAGTGTAGGAAATGAAGGATGACAATGAGAGCTATGAACCACTGTCCTCTGGGTATAAAATACCTGTTACAGACACAAACACAAAGCAGCTGTGGTTACCACCTGTACAAGATCAAGCCAGTAAAAATGACAGCATAGGGGGTTCCTGAGGCATAGCCCTAGCTGAGGAGCTACTGGCTTCTGGAAGAGGGAGGGTCATTTTAATTTGTGGGTGTAGCCACTGGTAGTTTCCAAGCATTCCAGTGAATGATCCCACACTCCTGTGCCTATGGGCAGGGCTGATTGGACTCCCTGTGCTAAAAATACCATTTAAAAAGGAGGACATGAGATTGGCAGGGAGATGCAATGAGTGGTATCCTGAGCAGGTTAGGAGGGGACAGTGAGCAGCGAATGTTGTCAAAATGTATTGACTGTATGTATAAAGTTTTCAAATAAAAAAAGGATAAAAAAGAAAAAAAAACCCAACACTAAACCAAACCGAACGAAAGACTAAACCAACCAACCAACCAACCAACCAACCAACCAACCAACCAACTAACCCCTCAAGCTTTTCCCTGAAGCCACTGTTGAAGCTTAGGACAGTTGCTTACCTGAGAAACTGTGAGAATAAAGGAAATGAGTATTGTAACAGTCCAGCCATTGCCAAAATGACATAGTATTAGCCATGCTAAGACTTCCAAAATCAAGATCTGGGCAAGGTGGAGAAAGAAGAATCCTAGGTTGGCACTGAACATGTTCATGGCCTCTAATGTCTTGCGCAATTCACGGAAATCTTCTACCAGCTGTGGCTGTGAAATGAATATTCAAGGTTAAAAGTTCCTTCACGGGAATGAGAAGATAAATGAATACAAGTAGTCACTTACCTCGTTAGTACTAAATTATTTATAGAAATGAATATATTGTATAAAATGTAAAACAAGTGAAATGCTTGAAAAAGTGGTGAATGAGTTGCGATGTGAAAATAGTTCTCCAAGTTTTGGGAGGACAGATAATAGCAGTTGTTTTCAGGGCTGGGGGATGGCAAAGTAGGGGCGTTGTGATATGTATAAGCCCAATAGCTGCCTTTGAAGCCATCACTATTATTTCAAGTGCCTACTGAGTTGGACTCTTCTAACATTTGGGAGGACTTTTTGCCCAGGAGGGTATCTATTACCGTAGTTCCTGCTATAGTGTGCAAGTGCTTTTCCAGCCTTCAGTTATTTACTGTGCACAAGTGAATCACTTACAGATGGTGGCAAACATAGAACAGTATATTCTGGGTAGATTATCTTGAGGGAACTTCTCAAGGATTCTCCCCAGAACGAGACTATCAGCACCAGCGTCTGTTTGCTGGTTAGCGTGGTCTGGGTACACAGGTATTATGCATATGTACGTGTGTATGTTTGTATGTAAGATAGCAGCATTAGTTTGCAAGCTAGTGTTGGATATTGAGCAGAAACATCACTTATGTTAATGAGAATAAAAGTTTGGAAATGAGAACAGTTGAGGGTGTGAATGGGGCAGGAGAAAAGTAGCTTCAGAGATGTTAGGAGGAGTGTGGAAGCAGAAGCGAGGAGATCTGTAAAGGTAATTCCAGACACCAGAAGTCTCACGTCAAAATCCACTTGTGTAACTTAAAATGTATTGTCATCGTCGTCTCATCATTATCATGTGCATGGGGTTATGGGGTTACACATTTGTCATATGCTGTGCAGGTCAGAAGACAACCATTGTGTAGCTAGTTTTTTTTTTTTTTTTTTTTTTTTTTTTTTTTTTTTTTTTTTTTTTTTGCACCTTTATGACTGCTCTGAAGACCAAACTCAGTTTGTCAGGTTTGTATAGCAAACTCTTCTACCTGCTGAGCCATTGTAGAGGCCATTGAACATATTTTAAACCATATTACCTACCTATTTGTGAGTAACTGATGCCTAAAAACCTTAGCTTGACTTTCATTTCATACACATTATTCATTTTTATTCTCAGGGACAACTTTCCAATCAATAACTTTATAGTTCTGACAAGTTTGGTGTGGGTCTTCTCTTCCATGGAGGGTCATTGAACACCAGCCATGAGGACAGCAGGAGCAGAGATGGGGCATGGGGCTCAGGAGGCTATGAGCATGACAGAATGGCCTCCAGAAGCCACTTCAGCAAGAAAGCTCAACATTTTTTGGGATGAACAGAGGCTTTATAGTCCTTAGGGAGGTGTGTGGGGGCCCTCCAGGATAGGTGCACAAAATTGGTTGGAACTAGGAATCCCGAGGATGTTTGGTTTCCATTTGGCAGCACACCCCTAGTATATGAACAGGAACACAGAACCTACTTATCCTATAGGCGCAGGGAGGGGAGAGCTAGCAAGGAACAGTACCAAAAGCCCTAGATCAGATATGGTTAGAGGCATCTATACCTAAAGACACTGTCTAGATGAGGTCAGCAGAGACTAGTTGGCCCTGCTGGGGAGAAGGAGTCCTCCATCTAGCAATGAATTCAGAAAGGCTATCTGGACTCGAAGGACTGCAACCTCAAACAGAGGTTTTCTCCAGCAGTTTGAGGTTAAGGATGTGAAATTTTGTGAGTGAGATCTTGCCCCTAAATCTTAGGAATGTTTAAGGCTAGCCTGAGTTTTCTTCTGTTCTCACATGTTCAGACCTGCATGGTCATCTCCTATTGAAGTTTAGATATCAACACATTTATCCACAGGGAAGGTGCTGTCATGTCAAAAGACTTTACATTTAGAATTCTTGCTCCCTTATATAAAAAGAAAGAAGAAGATATGGAATGTGGGGAAGACAAAAGAAGAGAGAAGTTGGAAGAAAATGGAAGATGGAATTTTTGAAGGACTCTGAAATGTGTAAAAGAGTACACGGTAGATTCCCTAATCTATAGAGAAAACATGAAAAATTATCAATGTTTGTCTGAGATCAAAGATAGTACCATCTTATAACCAAGATGACTAGAAAGACAAATGTGTAGGTGATTATACACTTTAAATATTCTGAATAAAGACAAGACTCTACATACTGCCCAGGATAATTGAAGACATATTCATTTACCGTAGAAAATTCTAGAAATTATAGAAAGTACTGAAACTATAGAAATTAAATCTTGTCTGAAGGGGACCCACTGTGTGTTGCTTTCAGTACGTATCTATCTCATTGGTGAGTGTATTTCATCCAGCCATGAAGAGCCTCTTCTTGGGGGAGATGGATAGATGAACCTAGGTTCCCGGTTACACAATCACCAAGTCATGAAATTACAGAAGTGGCTTATGGTACTCTACTTAGGTCATATTTGTTTATATATACCCCTAGCTGCTTATGGATACCACCTTCTTTTATGTGTGTAGGTGCATCTGTGGTTGGTGAAACTTTCAAAGGATCCCTTGTCAGCACAAATGTCCAAAAGCCTATATCCAACTCCCATAAAATTTGAAATTCTGGTGGTCATAGACAGTTTTAATTAGCCTCTCATATTAGTTTGTCTTTAAGATTTCTCCTGGCCTTTTCTTTTCCACTGCAATTAGACAGAGTAGAAGATAACTAAAATTCAGAATAGCAACTACCTCAAAATAACTGTCAAGCCAGTGACAGAGGCTGGACTTAAGCCCACACCTTCTGACACTCAGTTTACCAGCTTTCTAAAGTAGTAGCTCCAGTAGCTACACAGATATCAAACAAACATTCACAGTCAACCTTAATTCTTGGAGAATAACAATATTTTAAATCATCATCACCATCTCTCAGCTCTCAGAAGTTATTCAAATTTGCCTTGTTTTTTGAAAACTCCTTAGAAATAACAAGTAACCTTTGCTGTTACTTCTAAATCTAGAGTCCCCTGCGGCAAGTGCTGGGGACATGTGTGGAGGTTTGTAAGGCCTGGTAGTACCATTGTATTTATGATAATGATATTTCCTTTATTGCAGAACATTTACTATATTTTAAACACTATTTCAAGCTTCTTAAATGTTTTCTTTTTTTCAATTACAGTCCCAATAATTTAGAGATGTCATGGTGGTGTCACCATTTTACCTGGGAAAACACTAGGCCAAAAAGAAGTTTGAGAACTTCCCTAAATGTGTTTGAGATGGGCAGGGTTAGAGTGGGACTCAAGTCCACTCTCAGAGTCCAGTCTTCGAGACAAAGCTGTGTCACCTGGTGCACAGCTGTGTGGGATGCATGTGTGCAAAGTGAACCCAACTATTGACTCTCAGCTAGAAACACAACTTTATTCCCTCAAACTAGTCTTGTCTCCTGAGTCAGCTCCTCATTTCTTAAAGAATGAATAAAGCTCTTTATCTGCTTCATAGTACGTATGGATCAGGACTTTGTATAATTTCTGATTGCATGTAAGACACATGCAAGTTTCTACAAAAATAAATTTCAAACAAATGAACTGTTTTTATTAAACAAAATCCCTTTATGTTTAAAAAAATTAGCCCAGCAAAGTTTTAGTTATATAGAAATGTTAGAAGACTGTTTAAAACAGCCAAACTATTGAAGAAAGAATAATACCTATTTTGGGGGAACAGAAGTCAATGCAGCCAGTCCTGATGAGACCTGATAGGCTAGGGTCAGAGGGAAGGGGAGAAGGACCTCCCTATCAGTGGACTAGGGGAAGGGGCATGGGAGGAGATGAGAGAAAGAGGGTGGGATTGGGAGGAAATGAAGGAGGGGGCTACAGCTGGTATACAAAGTGAATAAATTGTAATATAAAAAAGAAACTGAGGCAAAGAGAAGTGATTTCGAGGCCTAGTTAGTTGATATAGTAACTGTGTTCCAAAAGCAACCTATTTTTCATGATTCATAACTTCCCTAAATATAAAAGGGCAATAGTTAAGATTTATTTACACCTTTCATTCAACAGCTAATTATTGAGGTTTTGCTGCAAGTCTAATCCTGTGTGGGCAGGTTGGAGGGCATGAGAATAAATGAGACTGTCTCCGTTCCCATGGAACTTAGCTTAGCAATGCTTCAAACATATAATTAAAAGCAGCCACAGAAATAAAGCCCTGTCTAAGTTACCTGGCATGAATTAAATGCTTAGAGACCTAGAGCGTATGTCTGAGTAAGTGCTATAAATTCCATTGCTTTGTTCTGAGAATAAAATATGATCATGTTTCATTATATGCATTTATGAAATTATAAAATATAAGGAAAAAATCTTTTAAGAAAAAATATTTGCAATATGTAGAATTCACTTATTTAGAGATCAATAAACAAGTGACAATTCATTCTGGTGAGGATGTGGAGGAAGGGGTACACTCCTCCATTGCTGGTGGGAATAGGAATTTGTGCAGTCACTATGGAAATCAGTGTAGTAGTTCCTCAGGAAGATGGGAGCTGTTCTGCTTCAAGATCCAGCTATACCACTCTTCAGCATATACCCAAAGGATGCTTCATTCTGTCATAAAGAGAACTGATTAACCATGTTCTTTGCTGCTCTATTCATAATAGCAAAAAACTGGAAATATCCTAGCTTATCTAAAGCAGAAGAATGGGTAAAGAAAATGTGGAACAATTACTCAACGGGGAGTTATTCAGCTTTTTAAAAAAAGTAACATCATAAACAACCCTGAGATTTCACCTTATACTCATCAGAATGGCTAAGATCAAAAACTCAAGTGAGAACACATGCTGGAGAGGATGTGGAGAAAGGGGAACCCTCCTCCATTGCTGGTGGGAATGTAAACTTGTACAACCACTTTGGAAATCAATCTGGCATTTTCTTAGACAATTAGGAATAGTGCTTCCTCAAGATCCAGCTATACCACTCCTAGGCATCTATATGCTCAAGTATACAACAAGGACATTTGCTCAACCATCTTCATAGTAGCTTTATTTGTAATAGCCAGAAGCTAGAAACAACCCAGATGTCCCTCGGTTGAGGAATGGATACAGAAATTGTGGTACATTTGCACAATGGAATACTTCTCAGCAATTAAAAACAAAGAAATCATGAAATTTTCAGGCAAATGGTGGGAACTAGGAAAGATCATCCTAAGTGAGGTATCCCAGAAGCAGAAAGACACATATGGCATATACTCACTTTTAAGTTGATATTAGACATATAATATAGGATAAACATACTAAAAACTATAGTCCTAAAGAAGCTAAACAACAAGGAAGACCCTAAGGAAGATGCTCAATCCTCATTCAGAAGGGCAAATAGTATAGGAAATACAAGTGGGAGAAGACAGGGATGGGGAAGGTGGCTACAGCAGGGATACAAAGTGAATAAACTGTATTTAATAAAAAAAAGTAACATCATGAAATTTGAAGGCAGATGCAAGGAACTAGAAAAAAAATCATCCTGAATGAGGTCACTCAAACTCAGAAAGATACATATGCAAAGTATTTGCTTATCTGTGAATATTAGTCAATGATAACCAACTACAATTTATAGAACCAAAGAGGGTGGGTATAGAGAAAGAATTTAGAGGGGATATATCAATATTGTTAGAAAAGGGGAATAAAATAGATAATTATGGATGAATGGGCAATGGGCTGGAACAGGAGGCTCAAGAGAGGAGGGGAAAGGAAGTTGTGGAGAAAAAATGGGGAGAGACAGCTAAAATTAAGGGGCATTTGAGAGGTACTATAAAAAATAATATAGTGGAAATTACCTAATAGATAGTATATATGAAGACAATATGAATGAAATTGTCAAGTAATTGGGGAGAAAGTCCCAAATGACATGTCACCAAACAAAGTTGCCAGTCCTGGGGTTGGGTTACTGGGCAAAAGAACATGATGGGAATCCCCACATAACCCAGGCTCTTGCCAAGAAAACAGGCTGTTCTCTACAACTGTCAATGAGGCCCCACTGGTGACGACAACACCTACAGAACCCATTGAACATGGAGAGGTTGGGCAGCTGCCTACATAGAGAGCATCTTTGGTGCATGAAGGTATATATCTGCATACGACCAGAAGAGAAATGTAAGCATCAAGGTAGAAAAAAACCCCTTTGATCTACAATGCTGTTTTGCCTGCAAAATATGCTAGGGTAATGGTGGCACAAATGCTGAATAACTAGCCAATATCTGATTTGACTTAAGGCCTACTCCACAAGATGGAACCTGTACCTGACACTGCTGGACTAGGCAAGAACCAGAGATTAGACAACCCAGAGATCTAAGGCAAAGCCAAATAACACTGCTCTAAAACAAAAACAAATGTTCAAAACATAGTAATAAAATTACTCCTGCTGATATTCTGCTATGCTCAGATTCGTGCCTTATTTGCCATCATCAGAAAAGCTTCCTCCTTCAGATAGGACCAAATGTAGAGACCTATAGCTGGGTATTAACACGAGAGAGACCTTGGAACACTCAGCCCTAAATGGGATGTTTCCATCAAGTTCCTCCCCTCAGAGGTCAGGGTACCATGAGGAAGAGAAGGCAGAAAGTATGAAAAAGCCAGAGGAGATTGAGGACACCAAGAAAACACGTCCCTCTAAGTCTGTATGTGTAAAGCTCATATGAGCTCACAGAGACTGGAGCAGCTTGCTCAAGAAATGCATGGGTCTGAACCAGGTCCTCTGCTTGCACATTATGGCTTCTAGTTTCATGTTTTTATGGGACTTCTGAGTGTGTGAATGAGTGGGTTTCTGATTTACATGCTTTTTCTTGGGCTCTTTTCCTTTGGTTAGTTTGTCTTGTTTAACTTCATGTGATGGTTTTTGTTTTGCCTTACTGTATTTAGTTTGTTATATTTTATTATTTAAAATAAAATATAGAGAGACAGAAAGGGATTGTATTCTGACTGAGAGAAGGTGGGGGATAAACGGGAAGAATAGAGGGAGGGGAAACTATAATCAGAGTATATTACATGAGAAGAGACTCTATCTTCAATAAAGGGGAAAAAAAGAAAATAGTGTCTTCTTTTTCTCCCATGGTTTCACTTTTAGTTATCCTTAAATCTATTAAAAAGAAAAGTCCAGAATATTTAAATTGTGCATTATTCTAAACATAATGGTGGGATACACTGCTACCCTGTCCCACACTTTCTTTAACCTGAATTCCCGAATTACTTCTTCATCCACCGTATCCATCATGCATACACTACCTTCTGCTCAGTTACTTAGCCGCCATTCTGGTAGTCAGACATACTCTCCTAACTTCACTTTGCTTGCAGAGATTGTTCATATTAACCATTGTTTCAGGCCTCCACTTGGGGGAAAGTCTTGGGGAATACACCTTGAATAAGTAGCGACTATATTTTACTATGGACTCATGTTCTCACAGGAAGCGGTGACTTGGTCTTGAAATACACCTTATGCCCAGTTCTTCCATGTCCTTGGATCCTAAAGCTATACTTACATTTTTGTTTTTCTCCTGGCTGGGTTCTTCTGGAGAAAGTTCTCCAATGAGCAGTGGCTTAAGGTACCGCTGCACAATGCTCAGATCCAGGTGCATGGCTCTGAAGGCATCCTATAAAGCAGAAATACTTGTTAGAAGCTTGTAAAAGGCCTGTTTTTCCTCAGATCTGCTCCTTCCTTGCCCATCCTGGGCCCAAACTGGCAACAGCACAGACTGTACCACAGAGCGTTTCCTTCTAATGCCATGTTGATGCTTCAAGGAGATGTATCCACTTTATTCTTCAGACCCTTCTACAGGAGGGTACCCTCCCAGGTGGGCACTGTTGGTCTAGTGAATTCCTAGAGCACTGATTACATCATTGTTTCTTTTATGAAGCACTAGAAGGAAGAGTTGCTTGAGTTAACTGACCACAGTGCGACTTTTAAGCGCAGAGCCGTTTCATATGAAAGTTTCTTAAACTGGCTAAGGTGTGCAGCAAACAAGACTGTCTTCGCAAATTACATTCTCCACGGACGGCTCCCTTTCAGCTCTTGACGGAGGCTCGCATGAACGAGGTGTCTCTAGTTAATTATTCCAGAGAATGCTAGATTGCATTTGATAGCAACATCTTAAAATAAAGACACGAGTGATGGGGGAGCATATCCCTTGAGCCCTGGGCTAGCTAAAGTAGTACACTCTCATCTGTATTCATCACTGAAGGGCTCTCATTACTCCATAAGAATAATGTTGCTAAGTAGGAATTCCACATCACTGTGGGAAGCAGTGTGTTCTGATATCCTGTGTATGTTTGGAAGTAAAACGATTCTTTCCTTCCAAGTATTTTTATAGTTTTTTTTTTTGGGGGGGAAGGGATTGTCACAAGATGGTTAACTTCTTGCTGCTTTGACACTGAGGTTGGAGGGGTTAAAGCTGAAGAAATACACCCAAGTTTGTGCCTTGAATATATGGATGGGATACGGATACTATGGAGCAGTGGCTTTTTCACAGAACTGGTTACAACCAGTACTTTTCACAAAAAGAGACCCTGGAGCCACCCTTCCTACACCTCAGTTTTTGTTTTTCTGTTTACAGGCTATGCAACTGTGAGCCTTATGTATATTCTATATTTTCTTTCTTAAATGGGAGTGATGGTTGTAGCTCAGTCCATAAGTTAGTATGAAGCTTGGGTGAATTAGTTAGGATGCTGATTGGTATACACTAACTATGCTAGGTATTTTATTATTAATTAAATGTAGGGATTTACAGAGGGCCTCTGAAAGGCTCTACCCTGCAGGGTATCAAAGCAGATACTAAGACTTATGGCCAAACTTTGGGCAGAGTGCAGGGAATCTTATGAAAGAAGGAGGAGATAGTAAGACCTGGAGAGGACAGGAGCTCCACAAGGAAAGCAAAAGAACCAAAAAATCTGAGCACAGGGGTCTTTTCTGAGACTGATACTCCAACCAAGGATCATTGATGGAGATAACCTAGAACCCCTGCACAGAGGTAGCCCATGACTGTTCAGTGTCCAAGTGGGTTCCATAGTATTAGGAACAGGGACTGTCTCTGGCATGAACAGATTGGCCTGCTCTTTGATCACCTCCCCCTGAGCGGGGGAGCAGCCTTACCTGGCCACAGAGGAAGACAATGCAGCCAGTCCTAATGAGACCTGATAGGCTAGGATCAGAAGGAAGCAGAGGAAGAACTACCCTATCAGTATACTTGGGGAGGGGCATGCATGGAGAAGAGGGAGGGAGAGTAGGGCTGGGAGGGGAGGAGGGAGGGACTCACGGGGGGATACAAAGTGAATAAAGTGTAATTAATAAAAATTAAGTAAAAAATGTATGGATATGTATGGGTCTGTGCATGAGTGGGAGGTGAGAAGAGGGCATCAGTTCCCAGGAGTGGGAGTTACAGGCCATTGTACGCTGCTGGGTGAGGGTGTTGGGAACTGAGTTCTACAAAAGCAACAAGTGCTCTTAACCACTGGGCTATTTTCCCAGACCTCACTAAACAGTACTTGTTAACTATCTTTTCATCTTCCCCCAGTGATAAGAACTCACCACCTACCTTCTCTTTAAGGTAGCAATTCGGGCTTTTATTTATATACTCTAACAACCAGTGGGCTCTGATTATACAAGTAAATATTCTGAATCCTAGATCTTCAGTGCCATGGAAATTTGCATAGGCCTACGCGTGAGAAGGTGTGTGTACAATGAATATGGTAAATAGAAGTGTGCAATATCAGCTTTGTAAATTGACTTTACCAAAAGGTTCACAGAGAAAGTGCTAGAGTTCTTCCGGGCTTTATGTTCCTTCTACTCTGCACACTAATCACAAACCCTTTGGACAACAATGGGCAACATTGACTCAAATATGATTCCATTTTTTTTTTTTTACATTCTTTCATACTAAAGCTTAGTGCTCCTAACCAGGCAAAGAATTATTCATTGGTTAAAGGAGTGATTTATGTCTCTCATGATGGCCTATATGATTAAATCATCCATCAACTGTTTCTGAGCAGGTTAGAATGGGAACGCATACCGGTGGATCAAGTGTAAAAGTACAGAAGAAGATAATCTCATCCCGAGATATGCAGCATACATAAGAACGTAGCTACCATGATTTCAAACCATGCTGATAATCTACTCTTCTGCATTCCTTATTACTGTTGAGCCTGAGGAATGATCAGAAGTCTGTGCTCTGGGACAGGCACTGAGTTTTGCAGAACAGTATGGGTGCTGATTTGTGGAGCCCTTTTCATTGTATTACTGATGAAGTACCACAAAGTAGTTTTCTCTTTCATCTTAAAATACTCAATCCTTTTCTAATAGAATCCATATACGAAGTTGTGAAACCCCTTCTTGGAAGCTGGCAAAAACAGGTTCTGTTGCCCACATTCTTGGGCAAGTACTCTCTTGTTGGAGGAGGTGGAGTAAAATGAAGGGAGAAGGGGAAAGTGCTAGCATGTACGGAATTCGCCATAGCTATTTACAAGGAGCTTGTTGGCTCATAGCTACCAGTTTACTCCTATGGGGTTTTATTGCTTTTATTGTACAGCGAGACATCAAGTCTTTAGGAATGTGGGCTGGAAATCTTCACCCCACATAACACAAGGAGCAGCACAGCCAGTGTTTGAACTTGTGGCTAAACAGAGCAATGGCACTGTAAAGATCCACCTCAGCCTTCCGCGTCTACAACGCTTTTCCTGAGAGACATGCTGCTGGATCATCTGGAGATGATGCTAAGATCATTCTGTATCCCCGGGACAGATGGTGATGGAATTTTCCTGTGGTTGGCTTTAGTCTCATGAAGCCTCTCACTGCAACCTGCCTCCTCAGGCTGACCTTCATGGATCATATTATCTTCTAGAGCCTTCTATTGAATAAAATTCTATTACTTCCGAGCATTCCTGGTGTTTATAGATTTTATACTCTTTCCTTCTCTTCTTTCATTTTTGTCTACACAAAGATCTTCCTTAAAATTTGATAGCAATATTAGATATTGCCACCCCTTGCACAGGCAGGAAAATTATTTGTGAGTACCCTGAAAGCTCATAGCATTTTATTATTTAAAAAACATTTATTTGCTCATTTATTGTGTATGGGAGCACACACATAGATTTCAGAGGGCAGCTTGTGGGAATCAGTTTTTTCCTTGTGCCTTGTAGTTCACCACAGGGGTCAAACCTAGATCAATGGGGTTCACAGCAAATTGCCTTTATCTACTGAGCCATCTCACCGACTATAAAGCTTTCATTATATGGTAATAAAGACATATGCTTGGTTCCTCTTTGGAGAGTTTTTGAAGCTAAGGCTGTGTACTAGTCATTAATGACTACCACTGTGCCTAGAACACAACATGCAGTGAATACACCCCTGATGAGTAAGGGAAAGAGGAAACACAGGCGGACAGAGCAGCTCTGCGCGAGGAGTTGGGATGGCTGAAGCATGAATAATATGCTGCTCCCATTTTCCTTATATTCTTTTGTCCCGCTTTGCAGTCACCGTATCTGCTCTTTAAGTTCACCATACATTGCATCATATTGCAGCTCTTCTCGGAACAGACTGTTCCAAGATCATACCAACAAGATGTGAGTGTTGAATATTACTTCAATATTGAATATTGAACATTATTATGGAATGGCTAATCCACAGCTATTCTTTACTTGGGGCTGTGATTGCTTACTGTTTTATTATCAAAGCAATAGAATTCCCCCATGGAAAGAGAATAGTAAAAGTATGGAAAATCAGAAGGCCTCAGACAAAATTCTGATTTTGTAGTTTAGATACTATTGCATAGATTGTACCCTGCATGAAGCCACCAGGCCCAGGAGGCTTAAGACACAGCAAGCACTCTATTTGCCAGAGTGGGCTTCTAGGGGACTGCACCCACCCAGAGAGAGTTTGTGTCTTAACCTCCGCCGTGGACCATACAGGGCAGCAGAGAGGGGTGGGCTGCTTCATGTTGGGAAGCTATTTCAGTTTTAACAAATCATTCTGTTATTATTTCTGTTGTTGTTAATGTTTGCATGTGTGTGTGTGTGTGTGTGAGTGTGTGTGAGTGTGTGCGTGTGCACACAATGTGCATGATGGCATGTATGTGGGAGTCACGGGACAACTTTGGGGAGTCAATGCTTTCTCCTTCAACTTGGACCAGGCTTAGTAGCAAGTGCCTTTGCTGATGGAACTCCCTCTCCTCAAACCTCAGTCTTTATTCAATTGCACACAAACTACCCAGTCCTCCCCGTGAGCTGATTTCATTAATTTTCTCAGCTGTTATACCATCTACACAGGACCTAGACTAGTGACTAAGAGGTTAGTCTTTACTATTATTATAAATATTATTATTACATAGCTAGTGTGAGGTCTCAAACCTGGGACAAACAGCTACAACCTAGTAGTTAGTCTGACAAGAGTTGAAATTTCCCAAAAGATGTTGAGTAATCGACAAGCATAAACTCATGAAACACTGGTAGAGAGGATCATGTATAGAATGTTACTTTTCCCACAAAGGAGCTCATAAATTTTTAGACTCAGGACTCAGGAAATAAAGGCAGAGGATATTGTTGGCTACATAGTGAGTTCCAGGTAGTCTGGGATACATGAGACCGTGTGTTTTAAACAAGAAGCTTACATTCCCTTGGGTAATTCCCCTTCTCTTCTTGTTCCTTCTCAGAACTTGTGTCCTTCTAGGCTGTGGCTAGCTCAAGAGTCCTGACATTCAACTGAAGGGTGACCTGGGCATAGACTAAGTTATGGGGAGAATGAAGCTTTGTCTTTGCCTTGGGAGAGAGCTGCCACCTGGGAGGGTGCTTGCCTGAGCTGCCAGGAGGCTGAGTCTCCACAGGAGTTCCTATTATCACTGGAAGACCTTTATTTTATGCTTTCAGCTGTTCTCCAGTCTTTTCTCTCCATCTCCCTCAGTCTTTCTCTTCCTTCTTTTCTCTCCTCCTCCCTCTTCTTCCACTCTTTCATTTTCTAACCTCCTAAACCTATGCATTCTAGGAGTACCTAGGTACCTCAGTGAGGTGCCCATTAACTGCTTGTGGATATTCAGGAAAGGTGAGGCCTCAAATACCCCTTCCTCTTAGCTGTCATGGTCTGTTTTCATCTTCTAGAACCTGGACTCTCCTCTGTCTGTTTTTCTCAGACATCAGTCAAGAGTGCACTTTTGGCCAGTATTACGCTAAGCAGAGGAAGTGGATGCCCATGATGCTTGGGCCCTTACTCATGGATAGTCACATATATCCAACCTGTTTGCTCACACCCTTCCTTTTCTTTGCCTTGCCTCTGTCAGCTCACCTCATCCTGACCCATGCGGGCTCTTCATTTTGCAATTGTGCACAGTGCTTTTTCTCCCTAGGATTTCCCTCCAAATAGCTGAAGAAGATTCTTGTAAGCTCCTACCATCTCTTCCTTGTTTGTTCCCTTTCACTATAGGACTGGACTGTATGTGTTATTCGTGTGTGTGTGTGTGTGTGTGTGTGTGTGTGTGTGTGTGTGTTCATGTGCGTATGAGTGCATGTTCATGTGGAGACAGAAGGCTGAAGTCAGGGGCCTCTTCAGCCACTCTCCACCTTGTTTTTGGAGACAGTGATTCTCCCGGGACAATGCTTCTCACTGGCCTGGAGCTCACTGATTCAGTGAGGCTGGCCGGCCTGAGGCAGAGTTCAGGAATCGGCCTGTGGTTGCCTCTCCAGCACTGGGCCTACACGGTGCCAGCATTTCAGGCGAGCACTGAGGACACACACTCATGTCCTCATGCTCGAATTACAAGCACTTTACCGACTGGGCCATCTTTTCAGGCCTGTCATTGCTTCCCCTAAGTTGCGATTTCTTTATTCAAACGTTGCAGCCTTTGCGTATCTACTATTGTGATTGTACTTAGTTCCCTTGGCAGACACCAGTGCCTAGCATAGAATGTATGGACAAATCTTTATTCACAGTTATGTCTTGTCATCAAAATGCTTAGCAATCTTTGTCCTAGAGACTGCAAAATGACCTGTCATGGTAAAATCAAACGATAATCTTTACAGTCAGTCCTTTATGTGGAACTTGCTACTCACTGACTTTTCCTCAGTGGACTCTCGTACATGAAGAGTCCTGGCCCCAAGCTCTGCTTATTGGCACGGTTATATTAGCTCCCGATTATACAGCTTGTAAACAACCAGATAACTCATGCGTGCAGTAGCAGGAGCTTATGTGTTGATTCTGTTTTATAGGTTATTAAACTACTGAAGGGAGCAGTAAAATCTGTTTCAGGAGAATGAAATGATGATTAACTACAAAAGGCATCATTTTTGAATATTCAATCCCCGCTGAGCACCATAAGGGGCATTTTATTTGACCTCCGCTGATTTTTGTAATAACAGCAAGATTAAAGTATTATGATCTCCTTTATAAATGAGAAACTGAGGCTTCAGGAGCTTATGCAGGCTCCGCAGGGCCACCCTAATAAGAGGATTGCAGATGCCCACTGAGCCTATTCCATTCTGAAACCTATAGTTTTAAGTATTAGGACAGAAGATTCCTCACAAAATTTTAGGAAAGCAAATGAGTGGTTTAACGACACCCCCTACCCCAACAGTTCTGTACCCATGACCTAGGCACTGCTATTCACCTTTCAGGAGATCTAAAGGAGTTGCTGTGTAAATAAGAGAAAGGCATCCTATCTGAGCAAGTGCAGACATGGGTTTTATCCCTGGGTTCCTGGTTGCCAGTCACAAAAAATTGTGCTAATATCTCCTAAGCTGTACAGTGAGCATTTGGCCTTGGGCTTTTGGGCTTGGTGTTCTGTTCCCATTTAAATGGCACAAACTATAATCAGAAGTTCTATGCTAATAATAAGCTTTCTGACAGTAACAATCACACTTCTGAGGATACAGATGCTATAATTTATGGAACTTAAATGTTCAATTATATGACATACTTTGCATGCATTCATTCCATTTACCATAGATCAGGCCGGTGGGCAATGCTATTCCTGTCTGCATATCATGGAGCTGAGACTCTAGGCATTTCAGTAGTTTCCCTGACTTCACACAATAAACCCCACTGTAAATGTTCTTCGTCCTCTGAGCAGCCAGGGAGAACTAGAATTGCCCTGCTTCCCCTGTCTCTCTCTTGCTATTCTTGAGTCACTTTCCTTTAGAGAACTTTTTATTTGAATGTTTATTTATCTTTCTAAAGTATGTGGTTGACCAAGCATGTGATTTTCTTTCTTGATATGCACCAATACCAAGGTGGCCTGGATGTGGCTGGTGGATTCTATGGCACTAAGCATGTCCTTCTCACAGGCTAGAGTGAGAATGAATAATACCTCTGACTGACATCTGGGGTATTAAAAATTGGTAGCAAACTTGAGATCTGTAACTTGGGCTACTTCAAGAGATTGTCAGAGGTTTTCAATATGATTGAAAGCTCAAGTCCTTGCCAACATATCCTTGAGCCATTTCTGTGATTTAAGCTAGTAAACACTGATCCAGGCAAAGCATCTGGATATATGCCTGTAACTCCAGTGTTCGGAATGTTCAAAGTCAGCCTGGGACACATGTGATCCAGATCCAGTTTGAGAAAAACAAAGTCATCTATTTCCTCTGTGCTATAGGGATGAGGGGATAGACAAGCTAGGAAATTGTGGCTGTGTTATGTTTATGTTTTTTTTTTTGTCATTTGAAATTTGTTAATTGTTCTTCTTTTATTCCCATACATATTTTCTTTGCTTTGCTCCTCCCTTCCCCTACTCCTGTCTCTAGATTTCCACACTGAGCACGTTTTTCTGACACCTATGATAGCCTTCTCCTTTGCTCCCAACGAAAGATTGAACATTGTTTAAAAACCACATCAGAACTGAAGTAGTGTAAATGTGACAGGGCTTGATTGGAAAGACATTCATCTGACTGAAGGAAGCATACAACCAGGAAGATGACAGAAAAACAAGAAATAAGACGGTGAAGGGGGAAAACTGAGAATTATGGGAAAGATATTAATGGCATCAAAATATAAACTTTGTCAATCCCTTGGGTATATACCAAGTCCTAGTTCTAGAACATACCATTTGCATACAGGTGTCTTCAGTCCTATGAGAAGAACCCAATTTGATAACTTCTTTGCTAGGCAAAATATCAAGCCCAGGTTTAAATTCCTGTTCTTAATTTTTCTAACCTTGAGTTTGTTAGGGGCTCTAACTCTTTGTTCATCTGCACTGTGATGGAAAATAACACTTACAGAATGAGTGGAAGTGTGCACCATGCACAGAATATTAAAGTGGGATTAAAAGAAAACAAGATCTTACTATGTAACTTTGGCTGATCTGGAACTCCCTGTTTAGACCTGATTGGCCTTGAACTCACAGAGATGTGCCTGTTTCTGCCTCTTGAGTGTTGGGGTTAAAGACATGCGTCACTACATCCACATAAAAGAAATCCTTCAGTACAATCAAAGAATCTGTCAGACTCCTTATCAAACACTTAGGAAAGTTTGAAATAATTTTTGTTAGCATTGCTCATGTATTTAGCAATGTGTGCGTGCAAGTGTTCATGCATTGTGGGCGTGCCTGTGCAGACTCAGGCATGTCATGTGGAGGTCAGAGGATAATCTGCAGGAATCGGTTCTCACCTTCTACCAGGTAGTTCTTAGAGGCTGAACTCAGAGTGTCAGGGTCGTGGCAAGTGTCTTCACCAGCTGAGCTGTTTTCTGGCTCTGAGTTTCTTTTTTTTTTAAGGAACCAGATATACAGAACTTTATCTTGAAAATACAACAACGTGAAGCCAAGCATTGTCCCTGCCAGTTCCTGCAGTGCACATGGCTTACCTCTGAGTGTAAGTACCTCCGCTGTGCTGTGGGAATTACATGCACCCCTGGCATAGTTACTTAAGGCGGTGCACACCTCTGGCATGGTTACTTTAGGTGGTGCATTTGAACGCGTCTGTGAGAATTGCATCACCCTTGTCAAACTGCTTGAGCTACGCTATGCAGAAGAGAACTGTGAACCCTCCAAGTCCTGAAGTTCTTGGCTTTCATTATTATTAACAATATTTGATTCCATGAGAAAAATTGCTTTCTGGAAATTCCTGTTTGAATCAATGACATGCCTTCCCCAGACTTTACTCACATATTTATAGCTTGCTCTTCATAGGACAGTTATTCTACTTCAGGGAAAAGAAACACAAGAAAACACTGAACAATCGAAAAGGACGAAATCCAGAATGCAAAACCACAATTTCCACCGTCAGCATTTGAAGGTACCCTGTACTGGGCAACAGGCTAGACCCTGAAATGCCATCTGCTTCCAGATGCTTGCTAGATAGGAACCCTGAAAAACTGGTGTGGGACGAGATGGTAAGAGTGGAGGGCAGACACGTACTTCAGGATTTTTGGGATGAGAGCCAAGATCTAAGCCACCCAGCAGCTGGGAAAGGGAGAGAAAGAAAGAGGGGAGAGAGAGAGAGAGAGAGAAAGAGAGAGAGAGAGAAAGAGAGAGAGAGAGAAAGAGAGAGAGAGAAAGAGCTCATGGATGCTCTTACCGTGGCATCTTCCCCAGCATAGTGGTTGAGGACCCGATGCCCACCTGGATGCTTGCCGGCCCAGTCAGTCACATTGTAAACCTTGCGATCAATCACCAGCCACTGGTCGGCCTCCTGATTGTGTCTCTGGATCTCCTGCCAGGTGTACAGGTTGAGACATCTCCTGAGCCTGTCGCCCTTGCCGTTTACCTCCTGCTTTTCATGGATCTCTGCTTTCCCATTTGCTCTCGGTTTCCCATTTGCTATTGCTTTTCCGTTGGCCTGGTGTGTGTCATGGAGACATGGCCGACTTTTTCCAACAAGGCTCTCACTGTGTTCCAGCTTTTCCTCCAGCCTCATCGTCCCTGAATCCCTGAGACTGTCTAGGTTGAGTCTGAATTTCCTAGTTCACTAACTGGGCCATACAATGACTCCTTTCCTCCTCCTTCATTCCACTGAAGTCCTTGATAGTCTCACAGAAAGCCTTTTGGCTTTCTTTACGGGCTGGCAGTGGGCACCTGCCCAGCCTGGCCCTATTTTGATCTGTAGCTGACCTTTTCTGCACCTAGGACAGCTAGACTACCTTCCTCTATTCACCTCTCTTCTTTCTGGCTGCTCTCTGAGCAGCATCCTTCTTCATCATTAAATGTCCCAGAGTACAGAGCCCGAGCCAATCACAGTCTGATGGATTGGAGGCCCCACCCCGTGGAGGAGGGGCTAAACTCTGGTTTCTGATTTCTTTTCCTGTTGGTGGGGTGGGTTTGCTTGCTCACTGATGCCTCCCTCCAAATGACTACCTGTAAATTTGTAAATTTAACATGTGAACAAAAGCCTTCAGACTTTCCTAGATGACAGTAATAGCTGCTGCTTGGATTAGGTTCTCTGAATAGCTGTCAGGGCTTTCAAATAGGTTTAACCCCCCCCCCCTTTTTTTTAAGTGTCATTTTTCAACAGGAGGAAAAAGCCTACATAAACGATGTAAATGACTCCTCCACCCCGCCACAACTCATTTACAATCTCTCTAAATCTGCAAACACTTTTAGAGGCCGTAGGAGTGACACATGCTGATTTAGAGTCCTCGTCACATGTCACATGTTTTATCTCTTAATCCCCTCAACCCTGTTTCCGGGGAAGCTTGCTAGTGCCCCATTTTCTGGCTTAGAAAACAAAGGACAACATAACATCATGTCACAGTCACCCCAGGAGAGAGACTGGAAGAAGACAGATGAATCCGCCACTAACTCCAAGTCTTTCTCTGCCTGTATCTGAGCTCTAGCTTTGCAGCAATGGGTTGGTTTAGAAACAAAGCAGAGGAGACTCCCATTTGAAGGTGGGGAGCCTCTGAATTTTGAGAGAAAAAAAAGGCTGCACAAAAATAGCAGCAAGAACACACATTTGAGAAACTGAACTGAATTTTCAACACAATTCAAAAACTGTTATAAAAGGGATTAATTCTACTGATATTTGCAACTGCTAGAATTGGTCTCAATGCTCAGCTCTGAGGAAGAAGGATGCGTCTGCTTTGCATATCGAATAGGATGTTAATATTTTAAGACAAAACTTTACAGAATTTTTAAAGAATCATGATGGTAGGCACTCATCATGATTACAGTATTTTTAATATAAAAAGTTATTCAACAAATTGTACCTGAGAGCAATTTTTTAAACTGAAAAAACAAGTTGTGTTTGCTGATTAATGTATGATGGGAAAAGGGTAGGTTAAGCTTTCCACTAAGTTATCTGTGGAGGCTCTATTGTGTTTTGCAACATTTTGTGGCACTTCCCAAACTTTGACAAATTAATGGATGGAATTTTTATATTTGAAATGAAAATTTTGAAGCAAACAAAAATGATGTATAGGTTTGGATGCTAGACAGAACCATGTTTCATCTCTGTCATTTGTTAGCTATTAGGTTTCCCTTAAATTATGTCTTTGCGTTTTGGTTTTCAGCCTATAAGTGAAAGGAGAAGCACATTTCTCATGACTTCATTAAGCCAACGTCAGTGCTGTGGTGTTTACATAAACTCTCTGTTTTCATAATTTTTTTAATTTATTCACTGTACATCCTGCTCCCTTCCTCACCTCATGCCAGTCCCATCCTCTCTCCCTTTTCCCCTCTATTTCCCTCCCCTAGTCCTCAGAAATGGGGGTCTTCCTCCCCTACCAACTAGCCCCAGCCTATCAAGTCTCATCAGTACTGGCTGTTCTTCCTCTGTGGCTTGGCAAGAGGACCCTGCCAGGGGGAAGTGATTAAGGCTCAGGCAAAAGAGTCCATGTCAGAGACAGCCCCTGTTCCCCCTACTAGGTGACCCACATGGAGAATGAGCTGCATACTTTCTGTGCTTTCTAAGTGGAGGTTTCCGAAACCCAACAAATGTACCTGTGTGGACTATGTGTAAATCATAAGTATAAGTTCAGGAAAACTAAAGGATTTTGGCATTAGGGAAGTGTGGAAACAATAGTCAGCTGAGGGCTTTTGTTGAGGCTGGTTAGTGTCTCCAGTGAAGGAGGCTGGCGCATTTTATAAGCTGGAGAAAATGTTGCTTTACCATATCATGCCATGCAGGCACACTGCTGAGGAAGGTACCTCAAGACATACATAACTCTCAATCCACCCTTCATACCATTCTCATTTGTCTGGAGGATTCAAAAGACACTGGTATCAGGGCCTTTGTAGCAACAGTGCTCAGTACATTTGTCTCTAAATAATTGTTCTTTTCCAGAATAAATGTTTGTTTGTTAGTATATGGGGATATATTTGGACTGCTTGAACCCTTCAGAAACTTGGAGGGGTCTCTCAAATGTGCAGCCAGCTTTCTGTTACTGTGTTTGTCAACTTCCCAATATTCTGATTATTCATTGGAGGGTAGTTAATTAAAAGCTTCATCTTAAAGGTGATCCTCAAGCTGATTGTGGTTACGAAAAGATTGGTATAACCCAAAGTTTCTTATAAGAATAAGATCGTAAGATAGTAATCTTATGAGGAGCTTTTTGAAAGCTGTCATTAGTTCTTTATTTACAAATCCATCCATCAAGCATATATGGAACAGCTTCTGTGGAGTAGCATCGTGCGAATCTTGAAAGTCAGCTGACTTTGACATCATCAGTTAGTAGATGTGGATGAGCAGTGCCAAGCACAGAAAGGGCTCAGGCAGTGTCTCTGAGCCATTTGTGTTCAACCTTCAGAACACTGGGGCCCCTCTCGGCTCAGCTTTTATTTTATTTTTTGTTTGTTTACTTGGAGACAGGGTCTCATGTATCTCAGGCTGGCCTCAGACTCCCTATGTAGCCAAAGATGACCTTTAAATTTGCATTCTGCTTCTACCTTCTGAGAGCTAAAGTTACAGGCCTATATTTGCCTTAGTCTCCTAGTACATATGGCAATGGAGACTGAGCCCAGGGCCTTGTACATGCTATATAATCGCTTCACTAAACAGGCCACCTTCTTATCCCTCAGCCCAGGACTCTTCAGAGGCATCAAAAAGTATTTTCCTGCCGTTAAGAAAATTCTATAGTTTATTGAAGATTCTCTAAGAACTTAAGTGCTGTCTTGTTGCCATCTTAGAATTGAGAGATAAGCCGTGCTTTCATTTCTTTGTACAGAAAGCTGTTAAAAAAAAAGAAAAAACCAAAGTGAAATAAAAACTTATTTTCTGTACTTGAAGTTCTTTATAGAGCAGCAGAGGATCAAAATCAAGAACTTCTAATGATATGAACCCAAATTCTTTAACTTCACTCTGCCTATAACTAGCTAACTAAGTAATTTTTTGAGAAAGACTCTGTATCCCAAGGCGGTGTGGATGTCACTATGAAGCCCAGGCCTGGTTATGAACTCAAGGTTTTAATGCACCAGACACTAAGTACTGGGATGACAGATGTGTCACCACACTGAGCTTAATTTCCTCACCTTCGAAACATAGAGAATGGGGCTGGGACATGGCTTAGTGCTTAAGAGCATGTACCACTCTTGCAAAGGACCCCAAGCCCTCTCAAAACCCTCCATGAGTGGATCAAATGCCTACAGCTTCGGGTTCAGGAGACCCAAAGTCTCTGTCTTCCTCATGCGAGTGCACTCGTGGGCACACACACACACACACACACACACACACACACACACACTCACACACTCTCTCTCACACACACTCCAAAAGAATGTACTTTTTGCTGGCACAGTGGTGCACATCTCTAATCCCAGCACTCAGGGAGGCAGAGACAGGCGGATCTCTGTGAGTTTGAGGCTAGCCTGGTCTACAAAGTGAGACCAGGACATCCAAAGCTACCCAGAGAAACTCTGTCTCAAAAAAACAAAAAGAATTCTTTTTAAAGAAACATGGATGAAACTACTACTAATAATGTTCCATAGCTTTTCTTTGTGACAGTTAAAAATGTGAATTCATATGCAGTGATTAAGACAAGGCTAGAAATGTTAGTTACTGGTATTATTCTCCTTTTGCCTGTATATGTATACTTGTGTCTGTTGATGTGTGATGGTACATACATGTGCAGGTGTGTGTGTGTGTGTGTGTGTGTGTGTGTGTGTGTGTGTGTGTGTGAAGGCCAGAGATTGCCTCTTGTGTTTTTGGTTTTTTTTTTTTTTTTTTTTTTTTACTCAATTGCTTCCATCATATTTGGGAGGCGGGTCTCTTTCTGAATCCAGGCCTCACCTAGCTGGCCAGCTCTCTTGGGGGAGGTCCCATGTCTCTGCCTCTCAAATGCTGGGATTACAGATGTGTTGCCAGCTTCTTCCTTGTATGGCAAGTTCATCAGCCACCTTCTGATCTGCCCTGTCTCTGGCTTTACTTTTTGAATTTCCTTTTATTTTTTTTTTGAAAGGAATCTTAAGGGAAAGATCCTGCATGGCTAGCTAAGATAATACTGCTCCTAGAAAACACGGATTATTAAAGAGAAAAATCCCAGTGCCTGGAGTGGGGCACCTCTTTCTGTGTTGCTGTACAGGAGAACCCCAGAGGGAACTCTTTGTGCAAACTCTTATAATTCGTTTTGGCTACCCAACAGAACTAGTTGATAGGAACCCCTTGCTGATGACACCATACAGCTTTTTTATAATATATAGAGAAATCAAGCAGAAACTAAGCTGGAAACTTCCTCCTAGCTTATATGGTGTGAGAAAGTGCCGTCCAGGCAGGCAGGGGAGAGAGAACATCAGCAGTCTCTGCCAGCTGTGACCCTTAGGACGTTTAATGCCCGCCTGCGCGAAGGTGGACCCACTGTGCAGCACTGGTCTGACTGCTGCAAGGTGGCCAGCTGCTCTTGGATTGGCAGAATTCATGCCCAATAACTCACGGTAGGGGAGGCCGTAGACAATCGGATGGAATTTACTACTATTATTTAGGTAAAC